CCCAGGCCATCCCCCCCCCCCCCCCCCCCCCCCCCCCGGTCACTCCCCCCAGGGGTCCAAGCTGCACTTTCCGCTGACCATTCAAGATCCAAGAGGAGCAACAATCCTCTTTAGCAGAAGCCCGATAATGCAGGAAATAATCAAAGTATTTCCCATTCTCCTTTATCTCCATGCTGGAGAACAGACACTTCATCTGCTAAACTCCTGTATGTCAGGCTGATTGTTAAAGTACCAGCAGCAGGACCATTAGAAAGACGGCAACATTGGAAGCCTCCCAGGGCAAAGATACGCGTTCCTAAAGAGCAAGCTGTACCTAAAAAACAGGCCTGAAACACACATGAAGCTACCTTACATCATGTCTAGGAGACCACTGTCTACTTAGTTGCCTTCCACTGTTCACCCTGCCTGGCACTGGCTCTTCAGCATTCCAGGCAGAGATCTTTTCACATCACCTACCCCCCTGGACTTTATAACTAGCTGGGCTTTGAACTGGCTGGGAGTTTCCGCATGCAAAGCAGGTACTCTGCCAGTGAGCCACAGCTCCATTCCAGTCCCACCCGGAACCCCTTCACATGAGCACCAGCACTCACCTGGTTAGTCCTCCAACGGCAGAGCCGCATCAGGAAAAATTTATCTACTTCATTTATACCTTGCCTTCCTCCCCAGTGGGGACCCAAAGCAGCTTACGCTGTTCTCCTCTCCTGCATTCTATCCTCACAACAACCCGGTGAGGCTGAGAGTCCGTGACTGGCCCGAGACCACCCAGGAAGCTTCCATGGCAGAGTGGGGATTCCAACTTGGGTCTCCTGGTTCCTAGTCTGACAAGCTAACCGCTATAGCACTCTGGCTCATGGCGTGGCAGAAAAACAAAAATCCCTTTGCTAGCAGACTGCTTTTAAGAAGCACAGAGTATCTGCAAGAGAAACAAACCAAGGTGGCAACCCTTACTGGGAAGGGGTATGGGGGTCTTCTCAGGCCTGGGGAGTATTTCAATGTAGGAAGCATGCCGACTCTCTAGGGTTGCCAACTGGCCTGGAGAAAAATGACCTGTCCCTTTAATAAAATGTTATTTATGAGAGGATGTTATTTACCTCCATGCCTGAAAAGCTTCAATTGCTCATGTCTACACATTAAGCCTCTATTAAAGGGACGTGTCATTCTACTCTCTAGGTGAGCTAGCAACCTTGTGACTCACACACATTGTGAAATAACAAGCTCCAAGTGTTGCTGAAATTACAGCTCAAGTCTTTGAACACCTAGGAGAACAGTTAGTGGAAATGGCTTAGCCAAGGGCAGGGCCAAACCAACACCCTCAAGGCACAGTATTGGCAGAGACAGCAGGAGTCATAATGCATAGCATCATAAAACACACCTGTATTCCAGGTGTGTGTTTTTTCTAAAAAAAAAAAAAGGTGGGGCAAGGGGTAAGCCTTCACAAGAGTGTTTACCAGCATCCTCTGCCTCTGTAGCAGAGGTCAGGATATGGTATTTCTTACAGTTTACAGCTTTGTCTGGATGCTTTGCATCATAGGAGGCCTGGAAGAAAGAAGCTAGGCAAGGTGTGGTGATGTCCAAACTGGCCGGGTTTGGTTCCTCAACTGACAACAATATGTGTGCCGCATTTGCTTGCTGCACACTTTCCATGCATTACTTTTGAACAGGACGTGTTCATTGACGCACCCCATCCAAAGGTAGACTGTGGAGTCTGAAGCCACTTTTACCTGCCGTTTGGAGATGACGAGATTCTCTACAGGCTGGGGAACCCTAAAGACCTGCATCTCTTCTATGATATGGACCACGGAACCAACAACCACAGCTTTGTGAATCCAGCCGTTACCTGAGCAGAGATCAAAAGGGTAAATGTCAAATATCACAGCAAGGAAAATGATTGCATTTGGGACTAAATAATAAACCAATAAATCAACAAACAGATCCAACACACTGTAAGCAAAAGGTGATCTGAAACTGAGTAATTAACGTGGAGTTTACTGCTGCGGGAAGTGGTAGCAGCTACAAATACAGACAGCTTCAAGAGGGGATTGGATAAACATGAAGAAGAGTTGGATTTATACCCCACCCTTCACTTGGAGTCTCAGAGCAGCTTACAGTCTCCTTCCCATCCTCTCCCCACAGCAGACACCCTGTAAGGTAGGTGGGGCTGAGAGAGCTCTGAGAGAACTGCTCTTGAGAGAACTGCTCTTGAGAGAACTGTGACTGACCCAAGGTCACCCAGCTGGCTGCATGTGGAGGTGTGGGGAATCAAACCCAGTTCTCCAGATTAGAGTCTGTGGCTCTTAACCACTACACCAAACTGGCTGTCAAAGCAGAGGTCCATCAGTGGCTATTAACCACAAGGTATAGATGGAGCTGCGGTGGCTCAAGTGGTTAAGACGCTGAACTGCAGGCTGTGGAAGGTCAGTAGTTCAGCAGTTCGAGACCCGGGTGGCGCATGATGGAGTGAGCTCCCATTTCTAGTTCCAGCTCCTGCCAACCTAGCAGTTCTAAAGCAAGAAATTGCAAGTAGATAAATAGGTACCACTTCGGTGGGAAGGTAACAGCATTCCGTGCACCTTGGTGTTTAGTCATGCTGGCCACATGACCACGGAAACGTCTTCGGACAGCGCTGGCTCTTCGGCTTTGAAACGGAGATGAGCACCGCAACCCTAGAGTCGGATTCGACTGGCTTTCGAGCAAGGGAACCTTTACCTTTATAGATGGAACACTATGTCTGGGGCAGTGATGCTCTGTATTCTTGGTGCTTGGGGGACAACAGTGGGAGGGCTTCTGGAGCCGGAGAGCCTAACTAAGTTTGGAAAGCTTAAAAGCAAAGAAGAAAAGTGTGGCTATAAAGCCTCTGTATTTCTACGTAAGGCCAAGAGGTGAGATGACAACTTGCTGTCTCCCAGGTAGACATGTGATCTGTCCCCTAAGTAATGAGGAGGCACAGGGCCAATACCCACCTGTTCCCAAGAACAGCACATCATACTCTTGTCCATCCAGGGCTCGGACTCTGTCTACGGCTATCTGGGTATAGATTACATTTTTCTTCACCAACAGGGGATCGCCATCTGTAGGTTTCACCTCTTCATACATCAAGGGGTGGAGCTTGACAAAATCCAGCACGCTGTTGGGTAAATCCTGGGAGGAATTGAAGCCACTCTTGCGAGCACGATCTGTGATGCACTGAAAAGGAACTGAGTGCCATTAACATATCAAGTTCCGGCACGAAAGAGATACAAACAAAAACCCTGCCACTGGGCTGTGTCCTTTCATTTTTCAAGTAAAGGATCCAATGGTTTGAGTGCTCTCCCATACAAAATTTTATTATACACACAAAGCTAGAATGATTGGAGGAAAGGCTAGCCTAGAATCTTCTCCCCAGTAAGTTAACTTAGTGCATACAGAGAGCAGCCTTTTACCATCTGCGGCTGATTAGGCAGTTGGTTCCCTTCCTCAAACGCAATGACCTGGCAACAGTGATTCATGCTATGGTCACCTCGAGATTAGACTACTGCAACGCTCTCTACATGAGGCTGCCCTTGTCTCAGATCTGGAAGCTGCAGCTAGTGCAAAATGTGGCAGCCAGGCTGTTGATGGGTCTCTCTATACGAGACCACATCCAGCCTGTGCTGAAGGCTTACCGGATTCGTTTCAAGGTGCTGGTTTTGACCTTTAAAGCTCTATATGGTATGGGGCCTGTCTACTTGAGGGACCGCCTTTCCCCACATGTGCCCCAGAGAGCACTGAGGTTAGGGACACAGAGTCGCCTGGCTCTCCCTGGCCCGAGAGACGCCAGGTTGGCCGCTACTAGAGCCAGGGCCTTTTCAGTGACATCTCCACACTGGTGGAATGAGCTCCCGGATAACCTCAGGGCCCTGCGGGACCTTTTACAGTTCCACAGGGCCTGTAAAACAGAGCTCTTCCACCAGGCCTTTGATTAGGAGCCGTCACTGATGAATGTGCCACCGGAACACGCTATGGCCCATATAAAACAGTGGTGGATACTGCCTCCCTTGAGGGGATTGTATATTGATGCTGCCATCATCTGCACTGTTCCTGTTAGATTTTATGATGTTAGGTAGTTGTTTATGTATATTTTATTGTATTTTAGTGTATTGACTGTTTTATTGCTTTTAATGTGGTTCGCCGCCTTGAGCTGGTTCCTGGCTAGGCGGGATATAAATTGAAAATAATAAATAAATACTTTCATGTCAGGGAGCATTCAAACCTTCAACCCTTTACTCATAGTAAGAAAGATATATCAGGTATCAAGCAGGGTTTTTGCATGTCTGTTTTAGCTCTCAGCTCTGCAGCAGCACCTGGTTCCTTGGCAGTAACATATATGGGATGAGAAGCAAAAGGAAGAAACTTACTGATCCTGGCCGGGGCTCTGGAACCTCCCCACTGTACTGAGACCATTTGCGGGAGGAGTCCTGGTATTCCATGTAAGTCCCTTCAAAGACTGCCTGCACCTCAGAGATGTTGTATCGGCAGATGGCGGACACCTCCATGCTTCTCCTGGAAGATAAGATCATCAAGTGGGGCTAGAGCCTTCTGTTTCTCCAAGAACCCATGGGTCTGTATAAATGAACCCTAATATGTCAGCACAGGGCCATAGTGGCTCAGAGGTTAAGATGCTGAGCTACAGACTAGAAGGTTGGTAGCTCGGCAGTTCAAGACCCTAGTGCCACATGACGGACTGAGCTCCCGTCTCTGGCCCCAGTTCCTGCCAACCTAGCAGTTCGAAAGCAAGAAATTGCAAGTAGATAAATAGGTACCGCTTTGGTGGGAAGGTAACAGCATTCCATGCACCTTGGTGTTTAGTCATGCTTGCCATGTGACCACGGAAATGTCTTCGGACAGTGCTGGCTCTTTGGTTTGGAAATGGAGATGAGCACCGCCTCCTAGAGTCAGATTCGACTAGCTTTCAAGCAAGGGAAACCTTTACCTTTAGTATGTCAGCACTGTAGGACTGCAAGGAATCTGAACATCCTCTGCTCCAATTCCAACGATGAATAGGTTTCATAAATTGAATCCAGGTAGCTTAAGCATGTTTCAGGGGAATATGATAAGTCCCAGTGTTACCAGCCCATGCAGCCTAGAGGAAAATTCTTTCCCCATTCCAGGTTGATGGATCAGTTCCTAACAGTCCTTAACAATTATTAAAAAACTCTTATTTGGCAAGAAACAATTCTTGTTCCAGAGACAGTCTATGGTGAAGACAGAAAATAACACCAAAATTAAAAAATAACATCACAAAATCTATCTGGGGCTGTGGACAGTGAGGCCGTGGCTGGGATATTCTTGAATCTGGAGGTTAGCACCAGCCTCTGTTCTAGCATTCCAGTGACCTTCTTCTCCATCAGTTGACTGTCCAAGGCACCACCCCACCCCTTTAAATTGACTATTGCCTGAACTAACCGCAACCCATACCAACCAGGGTGAGGCACAACTGAGGGTGGAGCTGGACCACAGCCTTTGATGTGGAGGCATAAAAGCAAATCATTTAGGAGGGAGCAGCTGCTGCTTATGAAATGTCCAAACAGTTTTCATATTTAAAAGCTTATATTAAAATTAATCAAAAGTTAATTAAAGAGGGGGAGCCACTGACAGCGCAAACATTCTTGTACACCCAAACTATGGCTCCTATTTTCGTGGATGTCGTATGCCTGGCCTCTGGTAGTGAGCTAGATCCACAGAACTTTGGAGGGAAGAGCCCTCAGGGATTCACCGAGACACAGAGCTCTGTAGCAAGCCATCTGCTTGAACCTGTCAGTAGGGTGCCTGATCCGGGTTTTGACTGTCACAGTAACGGCTCCCCAACAATCTGCACCTGTCCTTGCTGCCAGTTACTGGTAATTATCCTGTTGTTTCCTGATCACCCTTCTCTGTGCCTTCAGCGAATCCTTGTGAAATTAGACCCAGTAACTGTGTGGCTCACTTGGCTGGCGGATCAGGATACGAGACTCTTGGCAAGACCTCAATTTTTACTAGCGTGGAGAATACAGTCTGGATTTTCAGCACCCAAATATCTGGACTGTGAGTAATCCATGTGGTGGTATCCCACTGATGCCTGAGCTTGCTGAATCCACTGTACAGGTTTCTTCATGCTGCTCCTGAGAGACCTGCTACCGCGCAGCCCCATTCATTGTCCTGCACTCCTCCTTGAATGTGATTGTTCTCTCCATCACACACACAAAACTTCTCTGGGCTTCTAACAGTTCGAAGCCAGATCAGGACAGTAGGCTGAGCATCGAGTAAAAAACTGCAGCTGTTGCTAGCGGCAAATGAATCAAATCCCTTTTTGCCATCGACTGGTGCACTGCATTCCTGAGGCTCCATCATTTCCTGTCATCCTGTGGAGAAACTGCTCAGCCCTACAAAGCCAGTGCATTTTCTCCTTCACCGTCATACAATAACCACGGCTTCTGTACCAGGTGCATTGCTTTAACCCTTTCCGTGATGAATATGCCAAAATCATGTGTGACAACATATAATTTGTATTCCAAATTGTCCTTTGTGGCTGAATGGCCAGTGCCAGTTAGCACACCTGCCTTTAAAGTACTGTCTCCCTCCCTGTCATTTATCTTGTCTTCTGTGTTAACAGAGATCACCCTGACATGGTTGGCCCAGGCTAGCCCAATCTCTTCACAGCTTGGAAGCTAAGCAGGGTCAGCCACCCTAGTTCATACTTGAATGGGAGACCACCAGGGAAGTCCAGGGTCGGAATGCAGAGGCAGGCAAGGGGAAACAACCTCTGTTTGTCTCTTGCCATGATAACCTAAAGGGGTGGCCATAAGTTGGCTATGACTTGACAGCACTTTACACACACATTGTCCACAGGCAAAAGCTGCTAGTTAGCTAGGAGACAGCTTGTTAAAGTACACAGTATTATGAACTAGCAGGAAATGCTAAAGGCTGACTAAGATTTCAGCCTGAGCTCAGTCCAGAGACACTAAAGCAAAGGAAACAACAATGATTGTCGTGCTTAACAGCCATATGGTGAATGTTTATGGTCTTTTTATCCAATAGGGTCGAAGTGATTCCTGCCCCAGTGATTCCACACATGAATACAGCTGTCTCCTGCATATGCTGCTGTGATTAACCCATTCCACAGATGCTCATCCCTCAAGTGTTCAGACTGTCCCCTCTGTGACTTACCCTCAGCACTGACTCAAGCAAAATGAATCAGTTTTGGGTGGCAAAGTACTTGCAAGGACCAGGAGGATTTTATCGGCAGCCAAAACTGAAAGACCCCTTTGCTCAATTTCAATTCCACCCAAACAAAACATACACCCCCCCCCCATCAGGAGATAGTTAAAAGCCCTAGGCAACTAAAAAAGGATGTTGATGGGGGGGGGGAGTGAGTTGAAAGATTCAAGGACCTCATCCAGCATAAAAGCCCAGGTAGTCTAGCATTGGATGGGTGAATCAGCAGCTGCACAACACAGAAGATCTCTTTCCTGGACGGCAACAGCTAATTCTGTATCCGACACACTGGGCAGGGGCAGTATCTTACCACTGTGTGTGTGGATGGTGTAGTTTCCCCCCATGTTCCTCTGCATTGCTGCAGCTCTTTCTCACCCCTGGAACAATCAGTCTTTCCTAGGGCTGTGGGACACACACAGAGGAACAGCAGTGTGGATTGGAGGGTCTGGAGTGAGGAAAGATAAGGGGTGAAATTGATTCCTCCTTCCTCAAAGTGCCACTGAGAGGAGAAGGCAGTTTATTTCTGTGTCCCTCCTCTCTCCAGCCTGCCAACTGTCACAGCTGCTCTTATGCATGGATCCTGCAACACCATGATCTTTCCAGCAATCAGAATGTTCTGCAGAATATAGGAAAGCTTCATGCACTTTCTGTACTCTGATTGTAGGATAGTGTCCATTGTAACAGTCTGTAAGTGTATTTGGCTTACCACTGTGCTGATAAGGTGAATGCTGCATAGAAGACAGTACTCCGCCAGTCCCCTCCATCCAAGGTATAAACATCCTTGAGGACTTCATAGTAGGGAATGTAGCAGGCCAGCCTGGCTTTCATGAAGGATGTCCATTTCCTTTGGAGGATCTTCTTGCCACCAAGGTCATTCTGGAATGAATAAATAAATACAGAAAGGCTTACAAAGTCTGTGTTAAGCTCATACACGTTAGGCCCAAGAACCCTTCAGACACACATATCAAGGGTGGGCTGGCCACTTAACTCTCATGGAAGCTTTCCAGTGGGCCACTGCCCTAAAGGACCACTGTGGCTGGCTTGTAGTACCACAGTGAACGCTGAGTTTGGCTTGTTCCGGGGCCATTTTACCTTCCCAGTCTACCACTGTCAGATGCTGTTGGATTTTCACACCCTAACAGTTTCACTATGTGTCAAGAGACCCAGAAAGACCAACAAAGGGCATAAACACAGATTAAATTCCTTATACGAATGGAAATACGCCGTGCCAATTGTGGCTTGGACTATACTAAAACTGCTCCTTACAGGCTTACTCTTTATATACAGTTTGGACCTTACCCAAGGAGATCAATGGCTTCTAAGCCCTTTGGATCTTGAAAGCACTCGATATCTAGTACTCGCGGGGCTACAGTGGATCTGAAGGCACTTGGACCAAATCACACATAACACGGAGAATCTGGAGGCCTGCCCTCTTCTTTATGCATCAGCCTGAGATTAACGGGTCAGAATCTGTGTTGCCAGGCATGATGTTTGAATGCTGAATATTATTTTTGATTATTGCACCTTATCTTCAAAATGCAACTGGAGAATGGGCCAACAGGGATCAGGGTCATGGTATTAGGAAATGGTCTCTCTACTTCTCATTTCCCTAATCAAAACTGCCTCCTAGTTTCCTTTAGCCCTGGCAGGGAAGAACACAGGTGCCAGTCATTTCTCGGTATCAGAGTTAAAGGCAACTGAGGAGGGGGCAGTTATGACTGAGGCAACAGTGTCTGTGTGGGCAGGAGGGGGAACAGTGAAAAGCTCTTCCTAGATCATGCGGCCCATAAACACCTGACAACCCCCCCCCCCATTCACCAGTGGCTGTTTTTTGCAACTAGATTATATGCCGGAGGACCCATTGTTGGAGAATTCAGTCACAGGCCTCCAGCATCATGTGCAGCTGGCCTTTAGCCTATTACCTACTTCATTCACTCTGGATGATGCCATATTTTCCTATATATAGGAATATAAAGAAGAATTTTCCAACACTGAAATAATCAGATGAACAATTTACCATTCTATCATTCTAGGCCCACCAATCCAGGTGGAACTTCTGCTTCCTGAATATAACTACTTCTGTTTCACAGTGAGACAAACCCAGCAAGGCCAGGGTCTGGTGGACATCAGTGAAACCTGCCTGTTCTTCTACAGTAACAAAAGCCAGCACAATGCCAAGGGGGAATCTGTCTCCACCAAACAAGACCATTCACATTCCCAGATGCTGCTGATGCCTCCAGGATCAGTGAAAAGAAACAAAACCTCCACAGACAACCAGTCCTGATCACTGTCACTGGTTTGTTTGCATTTTTGAAGAATTTGATTTCTGAATGAGTTCATCCAGCTTTAACTTCCTGCCACTGGCTCTCATTCTCTCTCTCAAGGCTTTCTCCCTGGGAACAGTAATCAGATCATCTCTTAAGCTTGTGATCAGGCTCATCTCAGACTCCTTAAATCTTTTGTGGCCAAGCTTATTCCTCAGCTCCTCTCTGGGACTGCTCCAAGTTTTCTACTGCTGCTCTGGTTGCAAGGACTGAGATTCAGCTAGCCAAGAAACACAAAGCCACCAGCAGAGTCCTCTGCACTCTTTGGAACCAGAGCCATCTGTCGAAAGCATCCAAAATATGGATTCCACATAGCTCTGCCTGGTGCTTGCTTGGATGCACCCAGAATATTCTTACTCTCAAGCCAACAAGGATGCAGTTGTGGGGGGCAGCATGTGGTCTGCACTGGGGAATGTGGCTCATACGCCAAAGCCCTGAACAGAGTTGGCCACACCTGGAAGATGCTAAGAGCAGGGACTTCTGTTCTGAGCTTTGACAATTCTTGCTGTGCACAAAGGTTTTCAAGAAAAACTACCGTGCTGACTGCTGCAATTACAGGAGTGATATGGCTTATTCGGGGGCCAAGGGCACCTTGCCACCAGCACAGCCAGAAGCCTATCTCATCTCCCTCTGAACTATTCCTGCTCTGGCATCACAGGCAGAAGAGACACAGTTTGTCCTTGCAGCATTCCACAGCATGTTGTGGTTCTTCATTATCACATTTGTTTTCCTTCAATGGGCCCACATGGGGTTATCTTACATTATCTTCACAACAGTTGGCTAGGCTAGGCTAAGGGTCAAAATAGATGAAATGACCACTACCATCATCAAGGCAAGGAAATAGGTCAGTTTTGATCAGTTGACCCACACTGTTGTGAAGGGCTAAACCTCTTCTGTCCTCTCTCCCTCTCAACCTTGATTCAAATTGGCTGAGGGTGGAGCAGATCTGTTCACAGTTGTCCTTGCAGTGGCTTTCTGGTCTGTAACCTTCATGACTCAGCAGGGATCTCAACCTAGGACTCCAGTCCTACACAGACCGAATAGGGCATGAGTCCTCTTGAACTCAGTAAAGCTTACTTCTAGGCAAAACATCGTTAGGATCGTGTTGCAAGTCTCCACAGTCCAAATCCAACACTTTTTCTGCTGTGCTAGCTCTTGCAGGTATTGAGATACCAGTTGGCCGCTTATCTTCCGCCCACGAGGATTTGTGGCAGCTTATTGAGCTAAATGGTTAACAGTGAGTAGAGGTTCAGTCATGAACTCTGCAAAAACACAGCATCCGAAATGTTTCCAAAAATGCAATGGGGCATCCAAAGTGCAGTGACAGGCTAGCAAGGATAATGGTGGGTATCTCCCCCATAAATGTAGCTTGTGAACAAGCTCTCAAAGTCCTTGTGTTTGTAGTCTAGAAGCAAAGCAATAACAAGCTGGCAGCAGGCTGCAGGGGACTGGAACAAAACACCAGGAATGGCAAGGCTGAGCTGAGGTTCAGGGCTCAGCAGCATCCCCATCAAGTGATTCATGGCAGTACAAATGCCACTAGCTCTGCTCTGCTTTCAGGCTGCTCTGTGGCACTGCACCCCAGCCCACCCAGGAATGGATCTGTAGTCAGAATCCCATTTAAGGTAAGGTCTCTGCTCATTCCAATCAAAGTATGTTTGGCTCCTTGAGTCCCTTAAAGTGAGAGCAGGAAAAGACCTGGAGCCCATCACTGAACAGACCATGTAGCACAGAGGTGTCGAACTCATTTCTTACAAGGGCCAGAGCTAACATAAATGTCACTTTGTCAGGCTGGGCCATGTGTGCCATAAAATGTAATGCCAGGTACCAGAGATATAAACTCCATAAAGGACAGCAGCTGGTAAGCTCCGAGTTGGTCTATCATCACTGCAAGGCCTCATGGGCTGGGAGGGGGGTGGAAAGGAAAACCCATACGGGCGGACTGGAGAGCCGGCAGGGCAGCACTGGGCAGATGCTCCCATGCTGCTTGACTGCTGCAGATGAGGTTGTTCCGCCAATGCTGAAGCCACCCCAGCAGTCTCCTGTTCCCTCCCTTGTACTAGTTGCTTGCGGGCTGCAAAAGAGCCCAGGATGGAATGGTTCTGGCCCCTGGGCCTTATGTTTGACAACCCGTATTGCAGCACAAAGACTGGTTGGAATCTGAATGGCCTTGGCCAGGGCAACACCTTCATGTCACAAGTGACCGAACATTCTTGAGTGAGCTACTGCCCCTCCAGCCTCTCTCTCGGGGTTACAAGTGCCGGTGAGGATGCAAGTTGCACAAGCCCTGATGCCAGAGCTGGGGAAATGTTTCCAGTTCCTAAGCACGTCATGCCCCTTCACCAGCCCCAAGCCTTCACAGAACCCCTTCTCTTTACCTTACACACTCGGGCCACCCTGGCAACCCTGGGCAGCTGGTTCTTGTCAAAGATAGAGGTGCTCTCTTCTCCTGCTTGCTCTGTGAAGAAGTAGTAGATCTTGTCATCATCCCCCACCAGGCTGCTCGTGCTCTCCCTGACCAACACGGAAGCCACAAACTCAGCATCTGTACAAACCAAGGACAGCGAAAGCATCAGACTTGAAAGAAACCGCTCTCACAACAGCCCCCCCACGTGGCTTTAGAGATGGGGCACATGGGGGACATGCTCCCTTAGTAATACCCCGAGCCCCCTCTCTGAATTTCCAGCTCTCATATCTGTCCTTTCTGAGACAGAAAGGAATACATGCAATCTCTGTTTCATCTAATTACTTGGCAGTAAAGCGGGAGGGAGGGTTGAAAGATAGCACAAGGACTCTTTTGCCGAGCTGATTAACCTCTTTCTGACTCAGTTCATTCCATCTGCCCTTTCTACGGTCTTTTGTCCCTTTCCTTTTTTGTGGTTTTTTTTCCCTTTCCTTTTTTAATGTCAGCAATGACAAGTGAAAGTAGAGAGCAAAGAAAAAATCTGACTGCGATTTATACTATTTTGGGGCTACCTCCTCAGCGGCAGGAATCTGCCTTGGGAGTGGGCAGTCATGGGTAGATGGCAGGAAGAGAATGCCCAGGCCCACTCGGCCTGATACCACCAATGAATGCAATCCACTCTGTTGCAGCTTACATGAGAAAGAATATGTGTCTCTGAACATGTGCAGAATGCCTTTTATTGACCGATTTAAAAACCACTCAGTTTCCCTCAAAATCTGGGATAAGAGCTAAGAATCTGAAGAGGCATAATATAAAGGCAGGCCTAAACCCAATGACAAGTCCCCCTCCTTCTCTCCCCCAAAACTGATAACCTGAGCTCTTTTCAGATGCTCCATTCATGAAGGAATTGAGCACCACACATTTCCACCTCTACATATTGCAATTCCTCCCATTGCTTAGAAGCCTCGTGGTAACCTACTACGACACTGGATGAAACGTGATTACTGCCATGAATAAGGATGTAGTTTTATGCTGGGAAGTACAAAAATTATTTAGTCAAGTAGTACAGCATTGGACAGATGTAACCTCCCATTTATATGAATGGAATATCTGTCAGAGATCACCCTAGAATCTAGGGCGCACCTGGGCACTGGGCACTTCAAATACAATCCAATTTAAACTAATATATTCTGTAACTTAAAGCATATTAGGCTTGTATTTCAGTATCTGCTGTTTCAAACTGACTTACAAATCATTCCTCCCTCAAATGTGCCCCCCCCCCATTTGTGGCTATGGGCTTGGATGAGAGCAGCATAACAGGCATCTTCATCTCCTGCTGGGGGCAGACAAAAGGGTCAGGAGACATGGCTTTGGGATCAGCAAAGCCTACCGTTCAACCAGTGCAAAGGGGATTCCTCTGTCTTTAGAACCCGCTGGAACAGGCTGCGTCGGATGTCTGGCTGGCTGCGGAATTCATAGCGTGTTGCTGTATATAAACTGCCATCTGGGGAACAATGCAGCAAATGAGGTAAGGTTAGGTAAGGATGATTTGCCAACTGGTTTTGCTCAATGAGTAATTCCTTCTCCCTGGGCCTAAGCAGAAGACCTCCTTCCTTGGTAAATCAATCCTTCTGCACCTGATCTAATCAGTAAAAGCCTCCTCTGATAACAGCCACACAGAGAAATGCATACTCTTGAGATTATATGCCACTGCGTGCCAATGCATGACAACTTCTGCACACAGCCAGGGGAGTTCAGGAAGAGTAACCAAAGCATTATCTAGAACTTCCCTGTCATTTTTTTGTTGTGCCGCATCTGATTGGTTTGAGATTCTACCCATGCCTGGATGGGAGAGAACCAGCTGTGCTGCACAGATAGCGATACCCGAGTGCTCTGGGGGAAGGGAGACTGCCACTGCTCCACCCTTCAAAATTAAGTGCTAGATGGAAGTGGGCTGGTGAGGAGGGAGATGTATCAGGAGCCTTAGATGCACTTTAATGCATGTGCCTACACACACACACACACACACACCCCAAACTCTGTGCCCTGCCCACTCTGGGTAAACCTGAAAGGAATGGCTGCAAACAAAAGAAGGTGGAGAGGAAAAGTACATACCCACAATCAGACCAGTGTAGCCATGGCTAGGGTCATAGGGACATTTTTCCTTCCCTTCCTCAAAGACTGACGGTGGCATCAACTTGTTGGTATCCTAGAGAATGGAAAGAGCAGAGACAGATCACCCACGAGACAGAGAACCACACAGCTTGCCTGGATCCTCCTGACAGCCCCGGAGACCAAGGGTCCCTGTGTGGAGTTTTTAGCCAGGGGACAAGAGAGGTGGATCACCAGGTTCAATTTCGAGGTTACTCCTCAATAGAAAGTCTCTTGTGGTAGGGTGTAATGTATCCGCCATTACCATGTGCGTGACCGTTGGGCCATGCGGTCAAGCACAAGCCCAGAGCTTCGTCCCTGCAGAACAATAGCGGAGCGGATCCTAGCCCGCACCAACCAGAGGGCCAGGTCCGCGGCCGAGAGCCAATGGGACTCTCGGCCACTGTAAATAACCTATAGGGTCACTAGGGGGTGTGTTTTGGTGGTGGGTTTCTGAGCATATATACCGGCCTGCGTGCCGGGGTTCCTTGTCTTGTTCTTCACTAATAAAGTACTCTTTGCTGAATCACTCCACGTTTCGAGTACTTTTCACTGGCGACGAGGATGGGATTCTACCTCTCGTGAACAAGACCCGGAGGAGACCCTGCAGCACCGAGCACCGATCGTCACCGCCGCCGCCTGCCGCCGCCGGGATCATCGCTCCATCGCTCAGCACCTCGCTCCGTCAAGACCTCGGCCGAACATCACGTTAACCGCCTTTCGCTTCACAGCACCCGAGCTTCAAA